ATAATGATAATTTACAATAATTTTTCTCTTTTAAATTAACAATGGCCCTGGAATAATTATTAGAAAAATATACCTCTGACAGTATCCCACCACCGCAGCCCACATCTAGAATTCTAGAGCCTCTTAAGGGTTTCGAAGGGGTGAAGTCTTGTGTATGAAGATGTTCCAGAGATTTCTTTATGAAGGGAACTCGAAGTTTATTCATAGAATGAAGAGCACAAAAGTCGCCATTCGGATTCCACCAGTCACTTGTGGTCCTACTCAGCTTCTCGATCTCCTCCTCGTCAACGGTGTTCTTGCCAAAAAATAACAATAAATTGGATAAATAATAGTTTGCTATTAAGATACGGTAAATGACCTCTAATCGTTGGTCTCTAACAAACATTTATTGACCTAAAACTGTTGTAGATACGGAATTTTTGGACGTTTGTCTTACCTTGGTCGAGGTGCAAAAATTCCTACAGTAGAGGAAGCTTTTGGTGACATGATTAGCGCCTAATTGAGATGAACGAAGACTGCACCTCATTCTGCAAGCGGCCGCCGCCATGTTTGTTGATGTTTGTTCCATTTGAGCCCACAGTCGTCATACATGCTGGACATTTTGAGTACATCATGTAAAATGACATGGATGTTCTCAGTGGGCCGCTCCGAAATACGTCACGAAATACCATTAAAGTGTTTTCGTGTGTTTAAGTGTTTTTTTCAGCGCACCCATCTTAGCATATCTTCCATTAGACTATGAGTTGTAACTTATTTTATCTCAGGGTGAGTCGGGCGCGAGCGAGTACAAGAATCAGAAGGAAACGTGACGCGTTTTCCATTTCGCGTGTCGCGCCTTCACATTCAACATGAGTTTCGCGTGTTCTCACGAGCAGCCCTGAGTTAGAAAAATGAGACAATATTTTTCGTCTAATTTTTCCGCCGAGGTCGTCCATCTTTAAAGAACAAGTAGGTCGTGATATTTGAAAAATTTGTGGGTTACCACTATGTCGAACATGCATGTTAAATATCTCCTTTTAGGAGAGAAGATCTTGATATCACTAACACCGCTCAAAAAAGGTTTCTAAAAGTTAATTTAACATAGCTTTAAATAATTTATCATTATTATTACCTTTCAACTTAGGCAAATATAACGAACCCAGCTTTGACAAAAAAACATCCGTTGATTCTAAGTGAAAAAAGGTGGACCAACATACGTTTAACGTTATTAAGTTTGTCGTTAAAAAAAAAAAAACACAAAGAATACTAAGTGGTTCCCCCCAATAGATTGTGAGCCGCAATTTTTCCCTCATCATCTGACTCTTGATATTGTAGTTGAGATGATTTTTATCCACGTCACGCCGGAAAGGGCTGTCCAATACTCACAAACATCAGCTGAAAAATGTTGCGTTTTCTAACTGTCAGCTGAGATATAAGATCCGCAAATTTACTGAGCTGAGAATTGGGTTGAAAATTTATTTGATAGCTCAGAAGTCACCGAAAAATTAACCGGTAACTAAGCTTTCAGAACTCCCACCCAGACGATCTGACAAACTGGTCATTCAAACTGTCCAAAATGGAGACAGTTTTTAAAGCTAATGGAATTTAGAGAAATCGTTATTAGAGGCCGACTATGATTGCTGCCATTGATTTCTAAATTAAACTTAATAGTCCTATTTTAATTCTGCATAAGTCATATGTACATTCAGAGTTTGTAAACGCTGGTCAGGTGCGAAAAATATTAAAATTACTGAATATCTTACTTAGGTTCCACTTTAATTAAATTTTATGGGCTTTCGCGTAATTAAAATTATAAGCACGACTAATTATCTTTCTCAAATATTTCATTATTTTTTCGCAGTCTTAGCTCTTTACAACAGAGAACCAAAAATAAAATAGTATTTTTTTTTTCGTACGTTAAGGTATATTAATTTTATCTATGTTATCCTCTAGAGCTTTTCTATGAAAAAAAGACACTTTAGTTAATTCTGTTTTGAAAACACTAATGGAGTTGAGCAATATCAAAATGCCTTATCATCAATCGACATAAAGAAATGCGAACAACCTGTTCTCTGCCCTTCAAAACGGTAATTTACATTTCAAAAGTAAATAACGGGAATTTAATTTACAGAAGTGCTTGTTAGAGACAGGCTGGGCGATCTATACCAGAACTGAATTGCTGGTTAGAGAGGTTTTCCTTAATTTTTATTATTTATTTTCGGTGTTCTATTTTGTTGTTGGTATTGTTAGTGCACTCTAGTTTAGAAACAATTCAACAGGAATTTAAATTTCGTTTCAATTTTTATTTGCTTTTTCATATACACCCAAATGGATAGATCTATTTAGAGTAGATCCATTTCGACTTAGTTGCTCCGTCATCTTTCTCGAGAAACTCGCCAATGCAGAAGCTTGCAGCTTACATGTACAAGAACCCAATCGGGAATGCATAGTTTAACGCATTGACAGCAGGAAGTCGGCATTCAGGGACACCCAACGGACGTGTGCAGCCAGTTACACTTACGTTTCTTTACGATCGCCTTCTGCTTTTGGGCAATTGGAGACGTTTTAGAACTGACGTAGTAAGGTGCGTGTGTTAATGATAACCCGAATTCCAGGTAAAATCTGTGACAGACTCACGAGCATCTCATTCAGAGCAAAAAAACAGTTATCTTCACTTCGTACTTCAGAAATCAGTAAAATCTGCAGGCCATGCAGACACGACTGACTACCTGCATCGATTCTTTAGTTGGAGTACACTTTCAAATTCATGTCTAGAAAATAAGCCATAATTAAAGCGTGGATTCAGATTCCCAATCGAAACGGACGCAACTATTTGTGCGATGCAAAAAGCTTATCGTGAAACACGCGTAATTGCTATTTTTGCAAAACAAATACAGAACAGGAAGAAAGGGGATAATCAGAGAAAGTAATTGCAAGGAGACAACACTGGCAAGTTTTTTTTTTGGTGATTGGTTTTTCAAAACATGGCATACAAAATATTTGGGTTTATAGTTGGTACCAGCTATGGTTTAACGTTCGCGAGGACGGCCTAGAAAAACGTAAATAACTGCTTAACTTTGGCGGGCGACTTCACGCTCATTCAGTAACTATATTTTGTTTTCAGGCGTCCAATACTGACGTGAACAGATCGAATGGCTGTCATTAGAGGCCTCCTTTGCTTCCCATTTCTACTTGTTATCGTTGAATTATTTCAAGGAGCGGCCACTCAACAATTGCAATGTCCAGGTGGCGGTGCTGAATATTCTACTTCGGGAATGATGCTTGAGCGACACGTCTTTAAAACAATTCATGTATCATTCGGATATGAGTGCTTACAGGCGTGTCATCAGGAGATCACGTGTCAGAGTTTTAATTACGTCATTTCTCAGTCTGCGTGTGAGCTCAACAATCGCACCAAAGAAGCAAGGCCTGAGGATTTTGTGCCTAACACCGACAGATATTATTTTAGACGAGACAGGAACAGAGGTGAGGCAATAATGAAAAGTTTCTCAGTAATTGAACACAACTCTGACAGCTGGAGAATGTTATGACTGTCTTCCTTTCCAGTCCCTCTCGGTTCAATTCCCGAGCTGCCAGCTGAAACCTGTACAGAGATCAAGACGAGTGAAGGCGGACAAGCGGTCAGTGGCAAATACTGGTTTGACAAGTATAAAACAGGAAAATCTGTGCTCACTCATTGTGACATGGACACCGAAGGTAACGTTTTAAAATACATCTTAAGATATTTCTTCAGTTTTGATCCTTAATTACTTTATAGTAAAGTTCCTGAACTCTCCCTTCCTCGCACTATACAGAGGTTGAACCCCTCCTCAAACTAATCCTCAGGGGCCGCCCGCCCCTTCCAAAAGAAAAAACTCTGACCCCTGACCCCGCCCGGGTTCAACCCTTTTATAGCGCGGGGAAGGGAGAGTTCATGGACTGGAATAATTGCTTTATATTATTCTTCAGTTTGTGCAAGAAAGCGCATTTGTTAGCTATAAGAATCTATGCCACTTAAGAAAAGCGAAAGTTAAATCCTAAACTAATAAGCATGGTTTGTATTCCTTGATAGATGTTGACGAGTGCAAAGCCTCAAGCCCCGTATGTGACGTCAATGCTATTTGTCAGAACCAGCTTGGCTCGTATCTTTGCTCTTGTAAAACTGGCTTCACTGGAGATGGAAAAACTTGCTCTTGTAAGAGTAACTGGGTAGAACACCCAAGTGGGGCGTGACTTGGTGTTTTGTGGTTCGCAGGAAAATGAAATTGTTTGCTTTAGAGCGCGTGATTAGGTCACGTGAAAAAACAGGATGCGTGACAGTAGTTATTACGTTACCGAGGGCAATGCCCGTTGTAATATGACAGGTGTTCGTGGCGATAGCTGACTTAATCATGTCCTAGTACGCTGGCCCGATGTAGGTAGTTAAAATTGAACTTCAATTTAACCAATGAACGCTTGCTATGTATTCTAATCCGCTGAGATCAACTTTTCAGAGAGAGAGATAAACTTATTATCTGCTTCGAAAAAATAAACAACGCGCCAATCTAAGCCGCAACGACAACAATTCGTCTTATCAAAAAAAAATTATATAAATATTGAAATTTTGACATGTAGGGAATTTTGTTTATTAAACGAACGAAATCGACTTATAACTGAGACAGAAATTAAAAAAA